AACAACAACAACAATATTGAATATTTTTTGTGAACACACCATGACTATTGAAAAATGTCTCAAAAGCAGTTGGAAGGGAAGGATGCAAAGTGAGTCTGGAATTTAAATAATTGAGAAATGGATAAACTTAAGAATTATTTCTAATCTCTTGCATTCATCTATAAATATCTTTTGGTTCAGTAACTCTATGTGTAGTCTTTGAGGAGTGGCTGGTTTTGGTCTTCACTTAATGGAAAAATGGAAATCCTTTTATTCCTCATTTCAACTAATCATCAGATAATTGTGACTTCGTATTTATTCTGCAGCATATTTTGACTACAAAGATGATTCTGGATTTCCAAAGCCCCCTTCTTACAATGTGGCTACAACACTGCCCAGTTACGATGAAGCGGAGAGAACCAAGGCTGAAGCTACCATCCCTTTGGTTCCTGGAAGAGTAAGTACAGCTTTACCCTTTTACTTGATAGCTTATTTGTGGAATTTATGTTCTTTTCATCATCTGATTTTGATTTATTACTTAGGATTGTATTGGTTAGTAAGAATCCAGCTAATTTTTAAAAGCAAGTATATTTTCTTTTGGGTTAGTACTGTTTCCTGAAAATGATGAGGTAGACACAAACGACTAGAAGATCACAAGTAAAGCTGGCTCATCTTCCCGGTATCTCTGCTATTATGACCACTGCCTTCTCAAGTCTCCAGGAATGGCTAAAATATCTTTAAGCAGGAGTTGGTTTAGAAAATATACTGACTTTGCCTTCATTCTGCATACTTAGTATTTTAGTGTTATGTGGATGGCTGCTAGAGAGACCTGTGTAGAGAACAATACATAAATGCAATTTCATAAAATTTATAAACTCATAAAAACCAAACCAAACTCACTGCCATCAAGTTGATTCTGACACCTAGTGACCCCCACAGGGTTTCCAAGACTGTAAATGTTTGTGGAAGCAGACTGTCTCATTTTTCTTCCACAGAGTGGTGGGAGGGTTAAACCACCGACCTTTCGGTTAGCAGCCAAATGCCTTCACCACAGAGCACCTTATACACTCATAAAAGGGACCTTAAAAATCATCTCGATGAACCCCCTGTTAGTTACAGTCTAATCCATGGCATCTGTGGAGGCACAGTGAATTCAGATCCCATTTGGCATGATGTTGATTCATGTGGAAGGAGGTGAGGTGTGATGTAAGCCAGCCAGAGATTCTGGTGACTCTTGGTTCTTGATGTCAGACCTATAGGTAATATTGATAAGATTTCATAAACATTTATCCAGGTTGGAGTCAATGCAGGCAGGGTGTTAGAACAAATATTGGAATAATGGGGCACAGGATCCAGTCTCTAAGAAAGTAGGGAACTCAGGTCTCCAGTTTCTAGTTGCTGGCAAGAAGTGAAAGTGAAAGATAAACTCAGTTAGATAATCTGGGCAGTACAATGGCATAGGCTCCAGAGGTTCCCCAGGCTTTGGAGTAGTCATCTGTGTATAGTCCACACCTACTACGAGGGGTGAAACTCTTAAATCACTGCCTGGGAAACACAGGGTTTATGAGCCAGCCCAGGCTGATCTTATGTCAGTGTATTCAGTTCTTGTAGGTGCCAAGGAGGAACTAAGGAATTTTTGGACTTCTTCCTCATGGAGCTTATTGTCTAGTGCAAAACAGTCATAATATAACTACCATATATAGAAAGTATGCAGCGTGCTTGATATTGTGCTTGGTGCTTTTATTTCCCATTCTTAAAATAACCTTGCAAGGTAGAAATTACTCTATTTTATGGAAGAAAAAATTGAGGTTCAGAAAGATTAAGTAATTTGCCCAAAGTAGTATAACTAATAAGGGGCAAAAGTGAGATACACTCAGATCCCCCAGAGTCTGTAGTCCTTGTATATTTTACTGTGCCCTAAAGATTTGTTGGAACATATGGTAAATATCCCATGGAAATAGATTATTATAGAGATTATCTCTGATTAATTGTAGAACTCTTCAGAATACTTTCATTTGACTGACTATATGTTGATAAGTCTCTTAAAGAACGCTGTTCTTTGACAGACATGTATGTATAGAGCACCTATTTTTTCTTAAATTTTATTTTGTTGTAGCTGTTTAGCATATACACAGCAAAACACCAATTAAACAGCCGCATGTGCTATTTAGTGACATTGATTACATTCTTCAAGTTGTGCAGCCACTCTTACTGTCCTTTTCTGAGGGTAATTAACATAAACTCACTACTCTCTATCATTCCTATCTAAATTTTCAACTTGCTGTTACAATTTGATTTCATATAGATAGTTTTTAGAAGAGCAATAATGCTCAAAGCAGACTTTTTTTTTTTTTTTTTTAACCGGTTAAGCTGAATTATTGTTTAGTTTTAAGATGTCTTTAGAAGATATTTTTGGTTTAAAGTTATCTCAGGGGTTCATTCAGCCTCCATGGCTCCAAAAAGTCTAGAGACCATTAAAAGTTGAAATTCTGTTCTGCATTTTCCCCCTTTTGATCAGGATTCTTCTATGGAATCATTGATCAAAATTTTTAGTAATGGACACCATCCAATTCTTCTGGTCTCATGGCAAAGGAGGCAGTTGTTCGCAGAGGCAATTAGCCACACATTACTATCTTCCTTTTGCTCCTGACTCTCCTTCCTCTGTTGCCCCAGGTGAATAGAGACCAACTGTTATGCCTTGGATGGCTGTTTGCAAGCTTTTATGACCCCAGGCACTACCCAACGAACTAAGAGGTAGAACAAGAAGGACTAAATACATTAGGCCAGTTAACTGAGGAGATGTCCCATGAAACCATAAGCCTAAACTTCCAAACCAAGGAATCATATCCCATGAGGTATTTGGTTGTACATAAGCAGCTTCAGCAGCTACTCTTTTTTTTTTTTTAATCACTATTGTAAATATAATCTATCACACAGTTTTTGCCAATTCAATTTTTACAGGTGTACAACTTAACAGCAGTTACACTAATAAGCTTTGCAACCCTATTCTCAATCAACATGATTTTTCTATCATCATAACCTTCCTTTCCCTTCCCTTCCTCTCCCACCTCTGGTATCTACTGATAAACTTTGTTGTTTATACATTTGCCTGTTCTTGTCTTTTCATATAAGTGAGGTCATACAATATTTGTCCTTTTGTGATGGGTTTATTTTACTCAGCATAGTCTTCAAGCTTTGTCTATACTGTAGTATGTATTAAGACTTCATTGCTCTTACTGGCAGAATAGTATTTCATTGTATGTATGTAGCACATTTTGTTTATCCATTTATCTGTTGATGGGCATTTAGGTTATTTCCACCTTTTGGCTATTGTGAATAGTGCAGCAATGAATATTGGTATACAAGTCTCTGTTTGAGCCTCTGCTTTCAGTTCTTTTGGGTATATATATGTCTAGGAGTGGAAATACTGGGTCATATACTAGCCACATTTTTAGTTTTTTGAGGAAGCACCACACAGTTTCCCACAATGGCTGTACTGTTTTGCATTCCCGCCAGCAGTGGTTATGGGTTAATCTCTTCCCATATCCTCACCAACATTTGTTGTTTTCTGTTTGTTTTATCTTAATCATCCTAATGGGAATGAAATGGTATTTCATTGTGGTTTTGATTTGTATTGCTCTGATGGCTAATGATACTGAAAGTCTTGTTGTGTGTTTGGTGAGCTTTTGAATGTCCTCTTTGGTGAAAAGTCTGTTCAGATCCCTTGCCCATGTTGTAATTGGGCTGTTTGTTTTTTTGTTGTTAAGTTGTCAAGTTTTACGTGTATTTTGGTTACTAGATTTTTGTCAGATACATAGTTTCCAAAGATGTTCTCCCAGTTAGTAGCTTGGCTTTTCACTTTTTTGGTGGAGTCTTTTGATGAACAAAAGTTTTTAATTTTTAAGAGTTCCTATTTATTTATTTAGTCTTTTGCTGTTTGTGCTTTTGTTGTTATATTAGATAATCTATTGTTAAAGGCTAGGCCTGACAGTATCACCCCTGCTTTTTCTTATAAGATTTTTATGGTTTTAGGTTTCACATTTAGGTTCTTAATTAATTTAGAATTTGTTTTTGTGTTTGGTGTGAGGCATAGATCCTGTTTCATTTTTCTGTATGTGGAAATCCAGTTTTCTGAGCACCATTTATTGAAGAAACTCTTCTTTCCTCACTGAATGGACTTAGCATCCTTGTCAGAAATCAGTTGACCATGTTGTTGTTGTTGTTATGTGCCGTCGAATCAACCCCGACTCATAGCGACCCCTCTTTGGGTTTCCGAGGCAGTATCACTATGAAAGTAGATTGCCCAGAAATGACCATAACCACTGCTTGTGGGAATGCATATATTTCTGGATTCTCAATTCTTTTCCATTGGTCTGTGTGTGTTCTTATGCCAGTACCAGGCAGTTTTTATTACTGCAGCTGTATACTATATATGGCTGGCGGTTCAAACCCACCAGCCACTCCTCGGAAGGAAGGTTGGGCAATCCTACTTCCGTAGTGATACTGCCTTGGAAACCCAAGGAGGGGCCGCTATGAGTCGGGTTTGACTCGACGGCACATAACAACAACAACAACATAGTATAGTATGGTATGGTATGGTATAATGTAGTATAGTGTAGTATATTTTAAAACCAGAAAGTGTGAATCCTTCTACTTGTTCTTTTCTTTCGGCATTGTTTTAGCTTTTCGGGCTAGGAGAACTTTTTATGCAAGGTGCTTTGTATTTTGCAGTGTGTAGGTAGAAAACTTTTTATGAGGTGGTGTCCCTACCATAGGGGAGCTTAAAATCTAGCTAGGGGTCAGAGACCCACAAATACCCATATCTAAGCAGTGCAAGAGCAGTGGACCTTTTGGTAATTGTTATGGCATATATAATTTTGCAACAAAAGAGCGTTTGTGTGTGTGTGTGTGTGTATGGTTACATGTATGTATGTATGCATGTGTATAGGTGTATTATATATATGAATATAAACCCCAAACCAAACCCAATGCCATTGAGTTGATTCCAACTCATAGTGACCCCCAGTGGGTTTCCAAGGCTGTACATCTTTACAGAAGTAGGTTACCTCATCTTCCACCCGTGGAGCAGCTGGTGGGATAAACCACTGACTTGCTGGTTAGCAGCCAAATGCCTTACCCACTGTGCCACCAAAGCTCCTTTATATATGAATATATTTATTCATACATGTAATAAAGCACATCAGAGACACAATTACAGTGGATACTAGCTATAACCAAACACCTTTCAGAATTGATTTTCTAGGTTTGAAGGTTTAGGAACATAGTCTTTGTAGGACAACTCAGTCATTTGGCATAATGTAGTTCATAAAGTTTGTGATCTACATCCTACTCTGCTGAGTCGTCTCTGGGGTCTTAAAAGCTTGCAAGTGATCAAGATACAACTGTTCCTCTCTACTCATCTGGAGGAAAAAGGAACGAAGGAAACCTAAGACTCAAAGACGAATCTAGTCTTCAGGATAAGTAGTCTACACTAACCATGCCTCATCTACACTGAGACCAGAAGAACTAGAGAGTGTTCATCTATCACTACTGACTATTCTGATCAGGGCCGCAATAGATGGATCCTGATAGAATGGGAGAAGAATATGAAACAGAACCTCAAATTCTTAAAAAGTCCAGAATTACTGGACTAGTTGAGACTACACGACTTCCTAAGACTATTGCTCTGAGACACTCTTTAAACTTTGAATCATAACTATCCCCTGAGGTCACTTTTTAGCTATATAACAAATTGGCTTACAAAATAAGGACTATCTCCCATGAGTACTGTGCTTCTTTGTGGGGGAAAAGAAAAACACAGTAAACTTCAGAAACTGTGACTTTTACTGGGTGATCATCAGGAAGATGGGAGTTGAAGTAGACCCTGAGTTTGATGAATAAAGATGAAAGTATAAGGATTACAGAAAATAAGTGTGAATTCAGTCAGATGCAGGGCAAGTATTTAGTAATTGGTTTTGTTTGAGCACAGGGTTTCTGTAGAGAAACAGAAGGAGATGTGACCAGAACTGTAGGTTGTTGAAGCCTCAGAATGCTTGACTCTAAGGTATTTGGTCTTAGAGTGTAGAGTAGGAAGAGTCCTTCAAAATTTTTGACAAGTTTTGATAAGACTAATGTGGTATTTGAGAAACATTAACCTGATGTTTCGGTTACCTAGTGCCACTCTAACAGAAGATACCACAGATGGGATGGCTTTAACAAACAGGAGTTTTTTCTCTTACAGTTTGGAGGCTTTAAGTGCAAGTTCAAAGTGCCAGGCTTTGGGGGCTGGGTAAAAGCCCCTCAACATTGGGCTTCAGTTCTGCCTCCTGCTGTCGGCCCACTGAAGCTGGAGGCTTTTCTTCACTCAGCTGCTGGCTGCTGAGGCTGACAAATTCAAGGTTGGCAAGTAAAAAGGCATAGTCCCAATGTTACCAAACCACTAATGACCATTAATTCGAGTCCATTGAAAGTCCCAAGGTTGGCAGAGCATAGCAGGCTGTTGAACAATGAATGACATGGCTACATGCAGTTCAAGTGTGCCATAAGCTAGAGACTGTTCCCAAAGGTGTTTCTTGTGTATGGGAAGCAGATCACATACTCAAAGCAGCTACTCAGCTACTCCAATAGATTGCATTGTGGAGTTAATTACCAATCTCACCATGGAGAATACTACATCCAGCTGCCCAGCCACTCAGCCAGGCCCAGCCAAGTGGACACACAAACTTAACTACCATATCTAATTAACAATTTTTTGGAGGAATCGAAATGGTAGAGATCCTGAGGACAGGAAGAATAGAAGGTATTTGTTATATTGTACTTCAGTGTATTGGGAGTATATCTTTGAGTAATTATTATGCAGAAAACAGAATTAATTTCTGATTTGACAAAATCTCATTTATTCTGCTTATATAAAGCCAGAATATTAAATATTTAATATTTTTTTAAAAATGAATTATAAAAAAGCATTTGTACATTTCAAACAATACAGGACGTGTGTTAAGTTAAAAATGGAAGCTGGTACTGACACTTCCCTTTTTTTCTAGTTCCCATTCCCCTGGAGAACCATTGTAAACAGTTTGGTATGGATCTTCCCAATTTCTTTTCTGTGCAGGGCAAGTTTTGATTCTCCCTAAATTGTATATTTAAATATATAAAATATATTTGAGGAATACTCACTGCATTATGTACAAGTCTATTATTTTTACTTTTAAGTGTATATTCAGTTATTTATCAGTATCTCAATACATACCTGCAACTGTTGAAAAGGTAGATTCCATAAAGTTGGTGTCAGTGTTTGTCAGGATTTATTCCTCCTAGATTTTGAATTTATGTTATCAAATTAGGATGGAAGAATTGAAGAGTTCCTATCTGCCAGTAAGATTACAAGTGAGATGATTTCAGACCTATCTGCCAGTAGAAACACATGCTTATGCAGCTGAGCAGTGGGCAGCCCTGTAGACTCTTCCTGTAGGTTCATACTGTCCTTTTTCCCCATGTCAGTCTCATAATACACTTGAGCTAGTCAATTTTATCTCCTTAATACAGGCCCTGGATTACTTATATTCTAGAATTTAAGCCAACTGTGTAAGTAAACTTTCTCTTTTTTCTTGTCTTTAGAATAAATAAAAAGGAAGAGTGAATAGTTCTTTGTAAGCTTTTTCAATTTTGAAATCTATTGTTAAAGAATTAAGGGTTATAAGATGAAGAAAGTCTCTTTCATCTAGATGTGGGGATAGAAGAAATATTTGTTTGTTCTTTAATTGTGTCTTTTACTTATAAGGCAAAATGAAATTTTCAGTGCTTACTGAGCCTTAAATGGTCACAGTTTTGAATTAAGCCAAAGCAGTAAATGTTTTCATTAGCACTCCTTTTTTTCCCCACTTCTGTATTTTTCTTGATGTCTTTGTTTTATCTAGAAATAATTAGTTATGAATTTATGTTATTCTTTTTCTTTTCATTTAGGACGAGGATTTTGTGGGCCGGGATGATTTTGATGATGCTGACCAGCTGAGGATAGGAAATGATGGGATTTTCATGTTAACATTTTTTAGTAAGTGTATACACACAGCAGAACCACCTAACACAGATTAGAATGCCTTGGATTATGGGTGAATCTGACTAACCTAAAATAATTAGTTGAGCTGATATGTGTTAATACATTATATTATTTGGTTCCTTTTTCTGGGATATTTAGAGCTTAGTACATTTTTATCATACTGTCCTCTCTCTTCTTCTATTTCCGTGAATATTTATGGAAGATTGTAATTAAAGCAATTATGGGGAATGCTACATTGTCACATGAGCTAAGCATATCTATTTGGCCCCTTAATATGACTTTTATTCATGCCTGACCTGCAGAATTGGAGTTAAATGGCTTTTTCTGATAAATTTTATTCTACAAGCTTCTATTTTCTAACAGATCAAGTCAACCTTATTTTTCTCCTTATTTTGGATTTATCTTTCCATGTGACTAAATTAGAATTGAACAACCATTTCTTTCATTTGCTATGTTAAAACAATAAAGTGGCTTCTTCTAAGAATATGCAGTGCTTTTAGAGGTGAACTTAAGAAGCTGTCAAATTCATACAAGCAGGATGAAGAATGACTAGAATATTGTATTATTTGGGGGCACTGATTTGATTGTTCAAGGCATTTCTTTATTTTCCTGTAACAGACATACAGTACAGGTGAATAAGTTTGGTGGAGGTAAGGTACACAGTTAGTGAATGTTAAGGCATTTTTGAAAGAGTGAATAGGAGTAGACTTGACAGTGTAAAACTCGATATTCAGAGAGCATGTTTTCCTGATTACTTTGGGGAAGACAGGACAGCAGTCTTTTATCTTTAGGAAAGCCATTTACACAGAAGGGCTCTTTTGCTCCTTTGGTACAGGGCATGTCTGATAACCTTTTTTCCTCTATGCTTTTACAGTGGCATTCCTTTTTAATTGGATTGGGTTTTTCCTGTCTTTTTGCCTGACCACCTCAGCTGCCGGAAGGTATGGGGCCATTTCAGGATTTGGTCTTTCTCTAATTAAGTGGATCCTGATTGTCAGGGTAAGTTGTACAACAGAAAAGACAGACTCTGCAGAGAGACAATAATTAGAATGATTTTCAATATTGGATTTTTCATGTGTGTTTTTTTTTTGTTGTTGTTGTTATCTCAACATTTTAAATGTGGTGTTTGATTTGTTTTTGCTTCAGTTTCATGATGAAGTTGAACTGAAATCAGTTGCTGTTGGATTATTTGATTCATGCTCAAAAGTTTTGTAGTCTAGTCTGGTGGACATTAGTGTCCATGAACATCTGTCCCATGGGTTGTTGCCAGTTGCACTCTCTTTTTAATGCTTATAATATGATAATGTATGTGTTTGGCTTGAAATTAGTTGCTTTTAAATAGAAGGAATGATATCTCTTGGGTGTCTCATCCAAAGTGGGTGTTCCTCTTATTAAACTTACTTCTAATTTTTACCCTAGCTTTCTTCCTTCCTTCCTTTGCCTTTTCTTTTCTCCCTCTTTCCTCCCCCTCTTCCAGCATTGGTTGTCAGTAGCATTGTTTGGTTATGCCAAAATGTTTGAAGAACCAAATCTACTTACTACCACTACTACATTAGGGGGCCTTATCTCTGAAGTATATTAGAGAACTGCCTTTAGTGATTTGGGGGGTACCAGTTAGTAAAAATGCATGAAGTAATTTAAAGTCATAAAGATCTAGTCTCTTAAAATATCCCCTGATATTAGTAAGTTTATTGCTTATGTTAACTTTATAGATAAAACTAATTTATGTATCACAAATTGGCATTCTTAGTTCATTAATGGGTGTCAATTGACCATTGGAGTTTTTCAAAGCAGTTCTAAAGCAATTGCTTACATTTTTAGTATCTAGGACTCCTTTGAGAATTAAAGGATTTTATAGACTTTGCCTCAAATACAGAGGCACAGTATATGCATCTAAAACGTACACTTTAAGCTATGACCCAAACCCTAAAGAAATTTTACATCTGTTCTCTAAATTTTAGTGTTGTTACTTTTTTTTTTTAAAGAAATAACATACTACATTGTAATTATCAAATTGTAAAACTCTTGGATACCAAAGCCTCCAATAGAAAACAGAGATAAAGTTAGTTACCAGTTATTGTATTTATTTATTTATTTTTTTAAAGAAAAACAACCTAAATGTTTTAACTAAATTAACTTTTTAAATTGAATTGAGTACATCAGCTTTTAGCTGTTAGGTTGCTTTTGGCTGTAAGTCACAGAAGAGTAAGTTCAAAATGGCTTAGAAAGCAATGAGGACACTTTGTTACTTCCCGTAACAAGTTCTGACATGGGCCTACTGTGGAGTTAGTTAATTCAGTGGTTTAGTAAATGCCATCCAGAATTCTGCCATGTCTGCTATCCTGTGTGGAGCATGTTGGTATACCTCCCCCACCCCTCACGGTCAAAAGCTGTTTGAGTTGTCACATTGAAACACAGCAGTGCTCAATAGGAGAAAAGGAACAGTTTCTTCTCTTCCTTTTCTAAGAGCCAGGAAATCTTCTCAGAAGCCCTCAGTTCCTGTTGGTCAGAATAACATTATGTGCCCATTCCTAAACTAATCTTTGTAGAGGAATGGGATTATCAAGGTATACGTGACGGAGCTTTCAAGGTCCATGCAAGGCTGGAGTTGTTGTTGTTGTTGTTATGTGCCATGGAGTCGGACCCGACTCATAGCAACCCCTCCGAGACAGTATCACAATCTTCCTTCTGAGGAGTGGCTGGTGGGTTTGAACCGTCATCTTTCTGGTTAGCAGTCAAGTGCCTTAGGTACTACGCCACCAGAGCTCCTAAGGCTGGAACAGTGGGTACAAAATCAAGCCTCGTTATAAAGGCGGCAGTGATAGCAGCCAAACAATCAGTTTGGGCGCTGGGTAAGCAAAGTAAAACTATTACCAAAGCACACTCCTAGGAGGGCAGATATTACGTGGGCAAAAAAAAGTGTTTTTTAAAGAAAACTAAAGTTTGTACATGTTCAAAAACAAAGACTCCCCAAAGCTGAAAGCTGTCATATTTCAGCGTTACTTTTCCATAAAAGGAAATATATTTGCATGTGTCATGTAATGCTTGCAAATGAATTAGTACTGTATACAATACTTCCCCGTATTTTCTTTGTTACTGAAATTGCTAAATGATGGCATTGGCATACAAAACAAAGCCTTGTACTTTGTGTACCCTTAAGTTAAAATGTAAAATTGTGTCTGTTAAGCTGCTATAAAATGTTTTGCTTTATTTTTCAGTTTTCTACCTATTTCCCTGGATACTTTGATGGTCAGTACTGGCTCTGGTGGGTGTTTCTGGTGCTAGGTAAGTGTTCTTAATGTAGTAAAAAGAGAGAAAGCATTACATTAAATTTTAGAAGTGAAAGTACTTTTAGTAAACCCTCATCTTGTTTAGTGTACAATAATACATTCAATCAGTATTTGTAATTATAATTTTTTAAATGTTGCTCTGAATACCTTTAACAAGATCTTAAAGATTAGGCTTTTGTCACCATCGAAGTAACATACATGTTAAGGTGTATGTTACGTATGGTTGTAGGTTTTCCCGAACCCATTCTTATATATGTTTCAGTGCCCCCATGTGACCAATGAGGCGTAATGATAAGATGACTCTGTGGTCTGTCAGTTACTACCTTCAAGTGCTCACAAATGTAACCCTAAGTTGATCATAGTCATACTGCAGTTACTGACTCATAAGGGTATGTGATCTGTCTTTGCTTGGATCTGTTAGTAGAAAATGAAATGTATATCCCTGGTAGATATATCCCTGGAAGAGGTACTATCTCATTCATCACTGGTGAAGATAAGAATTATTTTGTGATGGGGAGGAGGTTTGTGTTTGTTTTTTTAAATACTAGGAATTTTAGTTGTCGGTCATGAGCTTATAGTTTTCACTCTCAGTACTTTTTCAAATCTTTTCTTCTAAGACATTAAAGTGAAGAAATGAACTTTGGAGGTGAATTCTTTTAATGTTGGCAGGAAGCATCAAAAGAAGATGGACGGAATACACAGAGTCACTTTACCAAAAAAAACTGGTTGAGGTTCAACCATTTCGGAAGATAGCATATGATGAAGAGCTAATGGTATTAAAGGAAGAAGTCCAAGTTGCACTGAAGGAATTGGCAAAAAATAAGGCTCAGGGATTGACAGAATACCCATTGAGATGTTTCAAGAAACAATGCAATACTGAAAGTACTCACTTGTTTATGCCAAGAAATTTGGCCAGCTGACTGGAAAAGCTCCATATATGTGCCTATTCCAAAGAAAGGTGATCGAACAGAATTTGGAAATTATTGAAAAATATCATTAATATCATATACAAGTAAAATTTTACTGAAAATAATTCAAAACCAGTGTATTGACAGGGAATAGCCAGAAATCCAAGCAGGATTCAGAAGAGGACCTGGAATGAGGAATATCATTGCTTATGTCAGATGGATCGTGGCTAAAAGCAGAGAATACCGGAAAGGTGATTACCGTGTTTCTTTGGGACTATGCCAAGATATTCGACTGTGTGGATCATAATAAATTATAGATAACATTGTGAAGAATGGGAATTCCAGAACACTTCATTGTGCTCATCAGAACCTGTACACACACTAAGAGTTGTTTGAACAGAATGAGGGAGGGGTGTGTGTCAAGGTTCTGTCTTTTCACCATACCTATTCAGTCTATGCTGAGCAGATAATCCGTGAAGCTGCATTATATGAAGAAGAACGTGGCATCAGGGTTGGAGGAAGACTCATTAACAACCTGCAATACACTGATGACACAATCTTGCTTGCTCAAAGTGAAGACAACTTGAAGTACATTGTGATGGAGATCAGAGACTACAGCTTTAGTATGGATTACATGTCAGCATAAAGAAATAAAAAATCCACACAACTGGACCAATAAGCAACATCTTGATAAATGGAGAAAAAATTGAGGTTGCCAAGGTTTTCGTATTACTTGGTGGATTTATAGTCTAGGCCCATGGAAGCAGCAGTCAGGAAATCAAATGATGTATCACACTGGGCAGATCTGGTGCAAAAGACCTCTTTAAACTGATAAAGGGCAAAGATGTCACTTTGAAGACTAAGGTGCACCTGACCCAAGCTATGGTATTTTAAATAGCCTCATATGCATGTGAAAGATGCACAGTGAATAAAGAAAGTGGAAGGAGGGAAGAATTGATTTGAATTTGAATTGTGGTATCGGCAGAGAATATTTGCTGTACCATGGACTGCCAGAAGAACAAACAAACCTGTTTTAGAGGATGTACAGCCAGAATGTTCCTTGGAGGCAAGAATGACTAGACTTTGACTCCTGTACTTTGGTCATGTTGTCAGGAGGGACCAGTCCCTGGGGGAAGGATATCATACTTGGTAAAGTAGAAGGTCAACAAAAAAGGGGAAGACCCTAAAGAAGATGACTGACACAGTGGCTGCAACAGTGGGCGCAGCAGTGACACGGTAACAATTTTGAGGCTGGTGCAAGACCAAACAACATTTCGTTCTGTTACACATAGGGTAGCTGTGAGTCAAAGCCACCTTGGCAGCACCTGACAGCAACATCTGAGTACAAAGACTTTCCCACCATTGAATATATTTCAAAATGTGTCCAACAGAAAGTAGAGGAGTGGTTGTGTAGGACTGAGAAGAGAGGAATGGGGAAGGGAGGTGTGACTAGTAATGGGTGCATGTTTCTTTTTGAGGTGATAAAATGTTCTAAAATTAGATTATTGTAATGGCTGCACAATTATGTAAATTACTAAAAAACAGTGAATTTTACACCTTAAACAGGCGAGCTTTATGATATGTACATTACTTCTCAATAAAACTGTTCCAAAAACGTTTTAAGACTCATGGAGTATTTCTGAAGGAGGAGAGCCAGGAGTGTCTGAGACAGCATCGGAAGGGACACATCAGCCCCTTCCCCCAGCTGTTTCCAAGGGATGCAAACCTTTGTGAGTGTAGATTCTAATATGTTGTTGTTATTGGGTGCCTGACTCACAGCAACTCTATGACAGAGTACAACTGCCGCATAGGGTTTCCCTAGGCTGTAATCTGTACGGGAGCAGATTGCCAGGTTTTATTCCTGTGGAGCTGCTAGGTGGATTCCCCATCTTACCTTTTATTTCCTTTTAGACCCATTAGATTCTGAATGTACAAAAGAGACTCTTATTTGACTCTTCAATATGTTTTCTTACTGAAGAACGGAAATTTATTTCAGCTGTCAACCTTTCAGTTAACAGCCAAGTGCTTAACCATTGCACCACCAGGGCTCTTCGATTCTGCTATAGTTATATAAAATTATTCTCATTATTTCACTGTCTGGTAAATAAATATATGGCGAAGTAACTTATATACTAGAGTACAGATTTGAGACTATGAGAATTACTATACTAGTTAAGGGAAACCTGGCATCTAGTGGACACCGTTATGTACTGTAGGCAGTTAGGGGAAAAAAAAAAAAAACTGGGGACGGGGGTTATGTGGGGACAGAGAAAGGAATAATCCCATAACAAGAGGGTATAAAACATATATTACTTGAGAAAAACACAGTTATCACTTTCTATTTTAGAAGTTAATTATCTTGGGATACTTTTTTCTAGAAGTCAGATGGTGGATTTTGATACACTTCCTAATGAGGTTTCCAAATGTGAATGTTTGTTCCCCATCTTACCTTTTATTTCCTTTTAGACCCATTAGATTCTGAATGTACAAAAGAGACTCTTACTTGACTCTTGAATATGTTTTCTTACTGAAGAATGGAAATTTATTTATTTATTTTATGGAAAATCCTTTGGAAATTCTGGAAGAAATTGTTTATATTTTGATAGCTTTTAATCGAAAAATGACCAAGTATTGCTTGCTATCCATAGGGATATTTCTGGGGAGGGGACTTAATGTGGAAATTATTAATTCATTCTTGACTTTCCTTTTTTAAAATTAGGGTTTCTCCTGTTTCTCAGAGGATTTATCAATTATGCAAAAGTTCGGAAGATGCCAGAAACTTTTTCAAATCTCCCCAGGACCAGAGTTCTCTTTATTTATTAAAGGTACTAAAGGAAAAAAAAAAAAAGCTATATTCTAATACCTGTGTGATCATGTGATACATTTCAGATTTCCATTCGTTTTTTTTTTAAAGAAAACTTTCTCTTTTAATGTAGACAAGTAGCTTAAGATGATTTTAGCTTCTTAGGTCTCATCACGTATATTTTTAAGACTTTGCAGGGCCAGCGAGCGTGCAGTTTGATGACATCACCCAGGATCCAAAGAAAAAACCAAACTCACTGTCATCAAGTCGATTGAGTCATGGTGACCCCCATTGGATTTCTGAGGCAATAAATCTTTACAGAAGTTGGTTGCCCAGTCTTCCTTCTGTGGAATGGCTGGCAGGTCTGAACCGCCAACCATTTGGTTAGCAGTCAGATGCCTTAGACACTATGTCACCAGAGCTCCTTTACCCAAGATCTTGAGGCTGTTATTTTTCTTCCCTTCAAACTTTGAGGCAAATATCTTTTTCCTTGGCTCTTGGACAAGGCTTCATACTAAGCCAAGCCTTCTGTTAGTGCTCTTTTGCAAGCCACCTTTTAATTCTACTCAGATGATTACTGGGTACCTAGGCATATAACAACAACAACATTAAGAGTAAGGCTCTGTGATAGGGGATATAAAGAGTAAGGGAGTCACAGCCCCTGCCTGTTAACAGCTTCTGGTTATGAGTCAGAATTGACTCAGTGACAGTGGGTTGGGTTTAGTTTTGGTTTCGTTTAGTTAGGGGTATTTTTATCTACTACTAAAAGTTAATAAAGATAATTATTGGGCCAAGAGCTAGCCCGTGGGGGTTTTAGTCCAGGCTCAGAATGAATTCCAGGGCCATAGTATTGGGGTCTCATCAGATTTCATTCTATCAGTAATTCTGGTCATTATTGAGATTTTCGATTTTGTTCTATGTTTTCCCTCTCACTCTATCCAGGATCTCCAGATTTGATCCTTTCCTGAGTGGTTGGCATTGGTAGCTGGACACCATCTAGTTCTGGTCTCAAGGGCCATTGTGTCCTAGGGCTGATGGCTTCCAAATGCCCATGTTTCTTTTTGCATTCTTCTTTGCTTCTGATGTTAGGAGACCGTTAGCTGCATCTTGGATGGCCACTTGAAAGTGTTTAAGACCACAGTCGCTACTCACCAGTGTAGGATGCGGAACAAGGCTTTTATGTATTTTGTTGTGTTAACAAGATATACACACAGACCACCCAACCCAGGATGATGCACTCATATACTCTATAGTAATACATCCCTTAGAGCAATAGACCACGGGGCACCAGAGCCATCATTGAAATTGAGGAAATGCAGGACAAACAGGAGTGCATAAATATGAGGGGTACAGGGGGAGGGTTACTGGGTAGGGAGGGGAGGAGACTAGGTTAGGGTAGACATGGTAAATGGGGAGTGAAACTAAATGTACACGTAATATTGAATGTAAAACAAACTTTAAAAAAAAAAAGTTAATATCTTAGGGGAAAACTTTATGTTACATACTGACAATGCAGAAGAGGCACCACTGCTCATCACTGTTGGCACCAGTTCTAGAGGACAGTATTCAGAAGGAACCTTTGAAGGCAAATCACTCTGCTGTAATTCTCTGTATAAGGGCTAGGCTACCCCAGAGCCAGGCTAGAGCATAGGTACTTCAGCACCCCCATTTATTTGAGTTATGGAAAGCCCAAGGTTTCTCTCTTAAACTTTGTCAGAAAGGCTTCTTCGTCCCTTTCTTCAAGTCCACAGCCTTACATTACTGCTCTGGAGGGGAGGAGGGTCAACCTAAGGAAAGGAAGAGGAGAAAGGGCCTTTTTCCCTGCCTAGAACAGGAGGACTAAGCTCTGCCAGGGGTTTTCTTTGTTTCACACATGTTTTTTCCCAGAGGCTAACTCTATCTTACATCAGTAGCCACATAAGGGAAGTAATAAGAAATCTTGAGAAACAGTATACACGCAGACCACCCAACCCAGGATGACGCACTCATATACTCTATAGTAATACATCCCTTAGAGCAATAGACCACGGGGCACCAGAGCCAACACTGAAATTGAGGAAATGCAGGACAAACAGGAGTGCATAAATATGAGGGGTACAGGGGGAGGGTTACTGGGTAGGGAGGCCTCTCCAGTAATGAGATCTAACAGACCTTGTTGGACTTCACACTTCCTTTCTTGGAACTTGCTTGGGGTGGGTGGATTGTGGAGTGGAGCCTGAGCACCACCTAGAGGCCAATCCAATTGAAAACCTTAGGGAAGGTTTTGTGAAGGGTGTCTCAGTAGACCTAAATCTTAAACAGCAGGTAGAATTTCAACTAGTAGAAATCAGATGAAGTAGGGAAGATGTAACAAAAACTTTTTTCAAGCGTGGTATAATAATAATAACGTTCATTAAATTTTTTCATGTATTAGACACTGCATTAAGCATTAATTAAGTATATTTAAATAAGTAACAGAAAGATGGTTATAGTGATAGATGAACTCAAACATACATGGTGGAGTATATATTCATTAGGCATTTCTTACAAAATTAAAGCATACAAAGAACATAGGCTAATATTGGTTAAAGTCAGTTTCTCCAAATGAATATATATTTTCATTTGAAAGAAAATTTTAATCACTTTTGTGTGTGATTTTTTTAAAATCTATTTCTTTCTGGTTGAGAATATGAACAGCAAACTATACACCAATTCAGCCGTGTTTTGTATGTATAGTTCAGTGACATTGATTACATGTTTTTGAGTTGTGCAACGATTCTCTTTCCTGTTCTGAGTTTTCTTCCTCCATTAACACAAACTCACTGTCCCCTAAGGTTCCTGTCTAATCTTTCAAGTTGCTGTTGTCAATTTGATCCTGTATAGATAGCTCTTAAAACAGCATAATGCTCAAGGGAGATATATTTATATATATTTTTTACTAGTTTTAAGAAGACTTCAGGGAAAATTATTGGTTTAAGTTTTGAAGGGTATCTAAAGGCAGTAGTTTCGGGGTTTCATCCATCCTCCATGGCTCCAGAAAGTGTCCATGAGATTTTGAAATTCTATTCTGCATTTCCACCCTTTTGATCAGGATTCTTCTATAGGATCTTTGACCAAGGTGTTAAGTAATGGTAGCCAGTCACCATCCACTTCTAGTATCATGGCAAAGGAGGCAGATGGTCATGGAGGCAATTAACTACAATTCTATATCCTTCTTCTATTCCTGTGTTCATGAATTTTTTAAGGGAAATACATTTTATTGCATGTTTAAAAATGTGTGGCATGTCATGAATTTTAATCAGGTGACAAAGTCTGGACACAGATAGACTTTGGCACCACTGGCTTGGCCCTAATGCTTGTGATGTGTCTTTGTGTCTAGGACACACTAAGTGACTTATACTAGCTGTTCTGTGTAGTTTTATTCAGTTACCATTTTTAGTCACCTTTTCTCTTTCCTCCATGTTTGATTGTAATTTAGATTTACTTCTAAACTTAGTTCTTACTACCAAAGATTCAAAAGTTATTTCTTTTGGGTTGCCACAAGGCCTTCTCCTTATGAAAAGTGCTGGAATCACCTATAGATTTCCCCTAATCCATTAGGGAACAGATTTTTCTTTTTTTAATAACAGATTCTGTAGGTCTGGTCTAATGATAGCTCTGAATTTCTAAATGGACTGTGGTTATATCTCTGTGTATTTTGTTTTTTTTAATGCATTTTATTGAAATATAATTTCTTATATGCATTTTTTTTTCAGTGTTCCCTCCTCTCTCCTCCCACCCATGGCAACCAACAAAGTTTCTCTCCATATATAAACCTTTCCTTGACCCTGCACAACAATGAGCTAATACTGTATTTGTCCTTCTGTGATTGACTTATTTCACTCAGCATAATGTCCTCCAAGTTCATCCATATTATGTGGTGTTTTGCATACTTTAGTGCTCCATGGCATTCCAGTATGTGTACATACCATAGTTTGATCATCCACTCTTCCACTGATGGGCGTGTAGGTTGTTTCCATCTTTTTGCTATCGTAAATAGGGCTGAGATGAACATGAGTGCATATATCTGTTCCTGTCCTGGCTCTCACCTCTATAGGATCTATACCTAGTAATGGGATTGCTGGGTCAAATGGTATCTCCAGTTCCGGCTTTCTAAGGAATTTCCATATTGCTTTCCACAGTGATTGTATCCTTTCACAGTCCCACCAGCAGTGTATGAGAGTCCCAGTCTCTCCACATCCCCGCCACCATGTTATTTTCTGTCTTGTTGAACCTGGCCATCAGTGCTAGAGTGAGATGCTATCTTGTTGTTTTGATTTGTATCTCTCTTATGGCCAATGATTGTGAGCATCTCTTCATGTATTAGCTGGCCACCTGAATATCCTCTTTGGTGAAGTATCTATTTATGTCTTCTGCCCATTTTTCAATTGGATTGTTAGTTCCTTTGGTATTGAGGCATTGGAGTTTTCTATAAATCTTAGAGATAAGTCCCTTGCCAGATAATTATCAGCAAATATGAATTTGTTGCTGTCGTTTTTGTCATGTGCTTTTTCATGGTGTTGATTTCTTTGTTCCATATAATTTTCTATGCTGAGCTTGTTTTGTTTATGAATCGTGTTATCACTTCTTTGTTGCTGTTGTTTTAGTATTTGCTAAATGTTTGTGTTGGTCCTCTTTGATTTTGATGTGAAGGTTTATAAATTTTCTTTGAGGTTACCCTGTGATTTATAGTTTTCTTCCCAAGTTTGGAACAGTCTATTCTGTCTTATAGTTGTCTTGATTTCCCTACCATCTAGAAGTTCTGTAACAACACAGTTTTTTCCCTCTTTTTGGTTTGTAGTTGTCCTCATTTGTCAGTTGATATCTCTGGTTCCCTGTTTACAATCTTGTAGGCTTATTTACTTTGGATACTTCCATAGCTGGGTTGGTTTCTGGGTTATGTCATCGTGTGTGTTAGTAGTCAGTTCTTGTTGGCTGTTGTTGCTTCTCTGTCCAAAGGGCTCCCTTTACCATCTCTTATAAGCTTGGTCTGGTTTTAACAAA